TCAAAATATGTTTAAAATATTTGAAATTTACTATTGAATAAGGTTTTTGTTGAAAACTAAGTAGTTTATATTTAGCTAAAATCTATTATAGCACGAAAAATTGTAGTTGAAAGGGTAAGTTTATGAAAAGGCATTGATGAGTGGCAACAGTGCAGGAAGCAACACTGAGGGCTCCAGTAATCGACAAAATTCTGCGTATACAGACTGCGTTTAAGTATACGTTCTGCGTTCTCGACTAATTTCAGCTTTACAAATACAACGTTGCGTTCTTACGTGATCTTGTATTTTTGGTTCATGTATATTTATTATTATTTCGCCATGCAGGGCTGTATTTGTTTTTAGAGTATTCGTAAATCTCTGAATAGAGATATTTAGGTGTTTTCACCGGTATTTCTGTAGTTTTCATAAATTGCTGGTTGGTAGACGTTAAAATTTCTGTCTTGGTTACATCTTTTTAGACAAAAATCAAATAACAAAAAACAGTCAGAACCAAATAACGTTCTACTTCGATCAAAATTAAACTTTTGAAATGAATGTTCACCATGACAATTAACAAAATTGTACATCATCATAATAGGGACACGGCAGCTCTGGGCTAACTTCTCGTATCTAATAGGGAGGCCGCTCTCATTTTTATCTTTTATGTGCTCCAAATTGGAGTAGCCTCTTTTTCACTTTTAGTGGCAACTCCAAGGAGGGATTTCATTTACTTCATTCTTGTTCATCATAGGCTCCTGAAAATTCCGGAAATTCCTTTGTGTGTTTGATCATCCCTTTCTTAAACGTTTCATTGTGCATTTCGAAAACTCATGAGCAAAGCAATTGTATAGATTCGTTTATGGTGCCGGTGTAATCAAGAACTTCGACTCTATAAAGACATCGAATTTGCGGAGTTTAATCGATGGCTAGTCAACGCCGCAATGAAAACCTTAGCGAAGCAATGCAACGCCTTCAAATGGGCGATGAGAAAATTGGACTTAGTTCTCCGAAACATCCCATTGTAGCGAATTACATACGGCAACATATAGGTAATACCCCTGCACAGCAGCAACAAACTGCCGAGGAGTATAAGTTGTATGAACGTACGAATATCATTGCTTCTTCTAAGTATGCCACACCCCGTGCGATTGAACAGTTGTCCGGAGATGCAAGCACAAGCATTGTTCCACTTTCACAACCTGCATCCAATGGGAATATTGCAGGTGTGGGTAATAGTCCACATTATGCTGGTCGTAATATAATGTATGAACAAAAATCATCGAAGCATTCGCCTGTTTATGAAAATCTAGAATTTTGTGGCGTCGGCGCAGCTGTCTCGCCTGCTCCATACTTTGATTCGGCACACAAGAGAGCACAACCCCAAAGCCCTACTGCGAATCCTTCACGCGGTCAATATATGGTGATGCATGCCAGTACCAATAGTGGGCGATTTGCCCATACACCAGTACCAGATCATCATACGGACAATTCGCCAATTTACGAAAATATTATACCACATTCTGGACAGCGTGCACAACCGCAGGCTTCGCCTGCAACTGCTACTATTTATCAACACGTCGAGATATCACCACAAATTGGCGTTGTTGGTAGTGGTGGTGCCATGCCGCTAGCACCGCATCACATTCGTGAAAACTCGGGTCTAGATATGACCGCGGTGTTAGCCTCACCAATGCATCGACGGAGCACCTCGAATTCCTCACTGAAAACAGCAACGTCCAATAGCACTGCGGCCGCTACTGGGGGTGGCAGCGGTTTATCATCGCCAACCCAGCGTTACCGCAATCTATCATTACCCAGTAGTACTAACAACGTACAAATATCGCCAACTAAATCAATGGCATCCAGTACAGCGAGCGGTAACGATTACAAACTATTGCAACACACTCCAATTAAAAATACAGTAAGTAAATAATAATTATGTACTTAAAAACTATGATGTAATACTAATATTAATTTAAAATTGTTTCAGCATCACTTTCCCACACATCATCCGATCATCAACGTATCGGTAAATCCAAACTACATTGAGGAAATCAACAGTTCTGATTACGTGTGCATGACGGCTAATTTGCATCGCCAGCCAGCGAGAAGCCCAACTGGAGGCGTAGCATCACTACGTTCAAATACTACGGCGATTGCTTTGAGCAGCAGTGGACACCGAAAAATGTGCAATGAATCGCCTATTTATGTAGGCAGTAGTGGTGCAATTGAGACAGAAAAGTCTGCCTCGTTAGCTGGTGCACGTAAAATTTCGCCTATGAGCGAACGTAAATTCACGCAATCACCACTGGCTATACCTCAGCGCCCAATAACATCCGGTGGTGGGGTTGCATCGTCCATATCACCGACGCCCTCTCAAAATAGTACTGGTGAGATATAGTGTTAACATGTTACTTCGGGATGACTTTAATATTCAAAAAAATACCATTCATCTTAGGCCTCTCAAAGAATTTACTACCGTATAGCGTGACACCGCCCCGTCCCATCGGTCCTACTGAAGCCCAACGTAAAATCGAAGAACTCACTCGCCAATTAGAGGAAGAAATCGAACAAAGCGAAGAACAGGGAGAGTATTTTGGTAAGACGTTCAATGACTTTGTTTTGAGTCTAATATTTTTTTTTTTAATTTAAGGAATTTGTCATACGTGTGGCGATAAGGTAAAAGGTGCTGGCCAGGCATGTCAGGCCATGGGAAATTTATATCACACAAATTGCTTTATTTGTTGCTCGTGTGGACGTGCATTGCGTGGCAAGGCGTTTTATAATGTTCACGGTCGCGTTTATTGCGAGGAGGATTACATGGTAAACAGCATAATACATGGTTTCAAACGAAGATTAAATACACATTTTTTCAGTATTCGGGTTTTCAGCAAACTGCGGAAAAATGTGCAATTTGTGGACATTTGATAATGGAGATGGTATGTTTCGTCGATATGTGAATTATTGTTGGAATATTCAGTACAATATGTAACATATTTTTTATAAAAGATACTTCAAGCAATGGGCAAATCGTATCACCCGGGATGTTTCCGTTGCTGCATTTGTAATGAATGTTTAGACGGTGTACCTTTTACGGTGGATGTGGATCATAAAATTTACTGCGTTAATGATTATCACCGTATGTTTGCACCGAAATGTGCTAGCTGCGGCAAAGGTAAGGGACAAATATTTGCATATATACATGTGTTGTTTTCCGCAAATAATCAGGCAGGTTCTGCAATTAACTTCCTGGTGAATTTCAACATAGCTCAATTTAAATTCAAAGCGAATTTGGTTACTTGCCTGAATATGTACAAATTCTTTTAGGTATTACACCTGTAGAAGGCACCGATGAAACGGTTCGGGTAGTGTCAATGGATAAAGATTTCCATGTCGATTGCTACATTTGCGAAGAGTGCGGCATGCAGCTTACAGATGAACCAGACAAACGCTGCTATCCATTAGACGGTCGCCTATTATGTCGCTCTTGTCACTTACAGCGTTTGGCTATGCAGCAGTCTTCCCCACACGTTCGACATCAGGAGCCAGTGTGCGCCTCATATCAGTATATGGGTTAAAGCCACGGAGCAGTTGATAAGTCCATATAATTATAAATGTATGCATTCCTACTATTGTACGCGAGGTAAAAGATAAACAATTTAGTTTTTAAGGGATAAGATGTAACGCACAATTTATTTTGACGATAAAGTAAACAGCATTTATAGTTTCTTTTAATGCTTAAAAAAGTCACATACGCGGGACTCAAGTGTGACTTAAATAGTTGCTCGAAATAAAAAAAGATATCAAAGAATTCCTTTAACATATTTCCATACATATGTATATCGGATATGTACTCTATACATACATGCAATACATCATTGTGGAATTCATTGATTTAGCGGTTTTGGAAGCGCTTTCTATTGCTCACGTAAATGCATTTATAGATATACATACATACCTACGACACTTTATTAAAGTATAAGCGGCAAAAATAAAGTTCACAGCGTTGCATTTAATTATATAAATTACAATCTATTTTATTTGTGTTGTTGGTTTTACGTAACTTACATTTTTGTTTTAACGACTATTTTTAATTTCATGTGAATTCAGTGCATCAGGATTTCCGTTTGGACGAGTCTTTTATTCGTATCGCCAGGCATGCGATATGGTACTGTTGCGGCCATATTTGTAATAGCTTTCGCCTTCTCGCGCAGATGCTGTAATTGCTGCATAATAAAAAAGCGAATAGTTTTCATTTTTCTAAGTATATTTTTCGCGATATATTCACTTACACGATCGCGCCCGGTATCTACAATGCCAGTGTCACGTCCCTTAACACTTTTGTACTGAGCGTATAGTATATCCATGGCTGCCAACAGAATGTCAGGATACACCTTACAAATTTCCCCACCCAAGCGTTTAAAGTTATTTATGCATTCTTCAAGTTCGTTCATAGACAATGGCACGAGTTTGGTGTTGGCGAGCACTTCCAAAGCCAATTGGTACTTCTGCTCGTGATAATAATCGAAGAATGAAACTAGTTCGCATAGTAAATTGAAGGTAGAAATAACTTGTGGGTCACACTCGATACGATTGCCTGTGAGAATATGAAAATAAAAAGAAATGAACTAAATACATTACCCAATTTGAGCAATGTAAGTTTTACCGCGCATTCGTTCCCTAAAATCGGCCGCCATAATTGTTAAACGTTCGCGCAGCGAATCT